ATTTGCACCCTTGAGTTCACCCCGACGAGGTTCACCCCGTGAGCATGGCGGACGAGCCGTGGGGGGGGGGGGGGCTGGTTCCTCCTGTTCTCCCTTCGGGGAACCCTGTATCGTTCTGTATCCGTCCATGCCACTCCACCCTATTCAACACGAGTTTATACCGTTTACACCACCCTCCTCGCTTCCGTTCGTCTCCGCACCCCTGTCCCCCCCCCCCCCAGGTCCTATCGCGCAGATAAACTTTCATTTACCCCGCATTGTGGCCCGCCAAGAGATACAGCTGTTACCAGGAGGGTGGAGATGGGGCGGATTAATCGCGCTGAGTTAGTGATTTAATTTATTAATTCGGGGGGGGGCTGGACTTTTCTTTGTAGTCGAGTCGACTTCAGGTTATGTTGGGGAGTAATTCTGATTTTTTTGGGGAGCTATGTACGGGTGGTTCGGTGTATATCGAAAGAAAACACGTTTAAGAGGTGTTCGGTGACTTCCAGGATTTACTAATCCGGGGTAGGGTTCGAGACCCCGGGTCCATATTTTTTTATTTTTTTTTTTTCTTAAATTCAGGAAAGTAGACAATTATAGGGAATTTTTAATTACGAATATGGGCAGGGGAGTGTGGGGGATGGTCACGGTGGAAATCCCGAAAGCGTCGATATATCCGATGACTCCTAGGAATGAGAGACGGGGTGTCCGGCCAGATGACGGGGGATGAAAGAGCACAATGGCGGAGTCGAGGAGTCCGTATCTCGTACTCCACTTAGGAGCGGACAATGAGCTAGGTGGCCTACGAGCTCGCTATTAATAATATATAAACAAACATAATAGCCGTCCGTCCCGGTGCGTTAGCCACGGGAGCTGGGGCGCATCTGGTAACGGCGCGCGGAGGGGCCACCTCGCTACCCCCCCCCCCCCCCCCCCCCCGGCCGCCATCCCCGCACGTCATTGGTCGGCCCCTGATGACGGCTTCCCATTGGTCGCGACCGGATAACGAGAGTTACAAATCATCCCCATACGCTCGCGGTCTTTTGTACCGCCGGGCTTTTTATTAGACGCGGAAGAGGGTCGATTAGGAGCCTGGACGCGCTCGGTGTCGTCGCGACGCCTCGATGGCCTCTTTGGAGGAAGTTAGTCACTTTAAGGGCGTCACGATTTCCGGAACTCTGCTTTTCATTTTTTTTTTTTTTAAGGGTGCTTGTATTTTAGGCGAGCAATTTTTATGAAATTTGAGAGGGTAATAATCCTCTAATAAGGGGGTGCTTGTATTTTCGCTGAGACATTTTTATGAGATTTGTGAGGATAATATTCCTCTAATAAGGGGGTGCTTGTATTTTCGCTGAGACATTTTTATGAGATGCCTGTGAGGGGTGGCTCCCCCCTTAATTTCTTTTTTTTTTAAATTATATTTTTCATTTCTCGTTATGAGGAAGCTTCTCCAGGTGGATTGGTTAAACAATATGTTCTCGTGGGTGAAACTGCCAAATCGGCCCTTGACATGCCTTACTTTGGATGGTGGTTTCACCCCCTTAAAGTGTTCAATGGCAGATAAAAAAAAATACGTGTCGCTTAGTTTTTAGTCTACTATGACATATTGCAAAAGAAATGAAATCGGAGAGCTGGGATACCTTCCTTGTAGGTCAGGTTCCATCGTAGGACCAGGAGTCCGTGAAAGCTCCCCTAGGTCGGTCCCAAAGTCGACGTCGCGAGGGAATCCCTCTGAGGGCTTAACGGCAAAACAAACGCGGAGATTTGCCGCGATTTTGGGACTTAACTCCGAAGTTAAGTCCCGGGATAAGGCAGGAGGAAAAACGTCTCCTGAAAAAGTAGGAGGAGGACCCGTCTAGCGTTTTTAATCCCTATCGAGGCGTCGATATTCCAGGACGCGAGGGGCGCGGTCGGGCCCCTCGCCCGCCCACCTTTCGGGGCCCTTTTCGGGCATAAAGGGCCCACCGCGAGGAGGGGGGAGGAAAATAATCCGAAAACATTGGCGAGAGCGGGTTTACGCTTTTGTGCCCCCCGTCCCTCGGGAGATGGTCCCAGATAAGCCCTCGACAATGGACGGCCGGTGGACGGGGTCCATCGATTCCGACATCAAAACCTTCTGGGCCCGCCGTTTAAGAGGCCCATTGTCGCAAGTAAACGGCCCCCGTTATTTCGCTAAATCGTAGGCGTGGTGGCGAATTTTCTATCTCCAAGTCCCGCGGGAACGGGGATTAGATCGGGGCCTTCTGGGCCTTACTAAGTTCTTCTGGTCTTGGGCCTGAGGGGCCCGATCTAGAATCTAGACCAAACTCAATGTGGGGAAGTACTGGAGGATTAGTACATAATAAATCATTCAGTTGGTGGCACATCCGAATTTATAGCCGACCCTCTTCCTCCACCCCAAAACATGATATCACTCACAAAGCAAAAAAATTATTTTCATAATTATTAAGACATGTTCGATTTTAGTAGTTTGGTAAAATTCAACCAACAATCGACATTTTGGACCGAGAAAGTCATTCCTACGACTACGACCATCAGTCCCGAAATTTACAGATGACCCTCTTCCTCCACCCCAAAACTTGATATCACCCTCAAAGCAAAGAAATTCTTTTTAAAATTAAAAAAACATGCTGGATTTAAGTAGTTTAAATCCACATTTTTTACTAAGAAAGTCATTCCTACAACTCCGATCATCAGTCCCCAAATTCACCTCCACCCCCTCACGACTCAGCGAATGATTTCTACCTTTCCACACCTTTAACAATCGACACACCCCCAACAATTGCGGTTTCGAGTCGAACTCGAGTTCCATCGGGAAGCCTCTCATCCCCTTAAATCCGGCCCAAAAAGGGGGCCCGAGGATTCCCGAAATCCCGATTACACCCAAGCCATAGCGTCAAGGTAGCGCATTAAGGATCGATTTATTAGTGCCGGCTTATTAAGCCCCACCCTAGGGGGGGCAGGTGGGTCGAGGTATCACTTTCCAGGGCGACAAAGGAGAGTGGGGCCCCCTTTCGGGGCCCTACTCGACTCTTGCCCAGCGGAGCATGAAACGCCAAACTAAACGGCGATTCTGACTCCAAATACGAGGAGAGTCTCTTATGTAAGCATTGTACCGGAGTCTCTGTCGGCCCCCCTTTTTCGGGGGGCATAATGGAGTCCCAGGGCCCCGATAGGTGTACATAATGAGGTTACTGGAGAGGAGGAAGCACCCGAAAGCATCTGCCCCATTATGCTGTCCCGGGGTACTTCGGCGGCCATTAATCCTCCCTTAAACGACAGCCATTTTGTAACTTAACTGGATTGCGCGGTCGCTAACGCGATCTCGGGATGCGTTAATAGACTCTGCCGCTTTAGGGGTTATTATCACCCCCCTCCTTTTCCCGATCTTGCCTGAGAAGAATCATAATAACCCCCCGAAAGCCGGGGGAGGAAATTTAGCGGCGGCGAAAATTCAGATTTTTTAATTCAGACTTCCTTACGGCACGATTCGCGTTTTATTCAACTTTTGACACTTCTTTTCGTTTAATTACTGTTTACGGTTACACCTTAATGTTTTTGTATTAGCACAATTTGAGGAACTAAAGGGTCTCCCTTAAACCTCTGAGCGCTATGGACCTATAAGTGCGACCGACGTTTGGCTCAATATCGCTTGCCCGCCCTAACGAAATTCGCCCTTACGGCAAAAGGACTTAGCGCTCAAAGGGTTAAACGACAGCCATTTTGTAAATGGGGAGGACTAACTAGAAGTATTTAATAATATNCGGGAGGGTTGTGCGAGGAATTATCCAGGGTGTATTCAATTTTCGAGGCGAAGAGGATAAAACGTGTAGAGTGTAAAGGTATTGATAACGATTTTGGAATTACAGTCTAATGTGAAAGAACTGCAAAATGTCGCAGAACAAATCGTTACATACACTTTCGGTGTAATATTTTATAGTGAAATTATGACAGGGAGGGTTGTGCGAGGAATTATCCAGGGTGTATTCAATTTTTTAAGTGAAAAGGATAAAACGTGTAGAGTGTAAAGGTATTGATAACGATTTTGGAATTTCAGTCAAATAAGAAAAAACTGCAAAATGTCGCAGAACAATCCATTACACGTGTTTATTAAATTCATGCGCTCTCGGTACAATATTTTGTATTAAAATTACGTCCAGGAGGTGTATACAATTTTTTTCTTCTCAAACAGGAAATTCCACGCGCCCCCCGTTCTTCCATAATCACATGAAGTTTCGAACGATTCCGTGCATCCTGTATGGATAAAAGTAATATAAATCATTAAACGTTTCAACCATACAGAACGACCCTTTCGTATCACCTAAAAACTCTCAAGACGGCCCAAAAGGGGTGCATACATCCCCCGTTAACACCGCCTCCCGGAAATAAGCTCTCCGGCCTTAGTTTATAAAACGAGGGTCTCCTTTCACGGTGTTCGGCCGGGAATTCAGGGCATAGACAAAGAATCCCTCGACAGCGCCGCGGCATCCCTCGGGTGGCGTTCCAGGGATCGTTAATTCGGAGCGCCCCCACCCGGAGGGTAGGTAACCGCTCGCGGACGTAGCCGCGACCCAATAACTAGGATCGCCGATCGAGCGGCGGGGCGCGCAGCGCGCGCGGCCGAGAATTAGACAATTAGGAGTCGTCACGTACGCCAAACTGTCTGCCACCCTCCGCCCTCCCGGCCTCCTCCCCGCGCGGCGGCCGGCGCGCAACTGCGGGCCCCCCACTCCGCGGCGCCTCGCCGACCGCGGCCCCGCCGCGCGGCAGCGATTGGCGGCGGTCGCCGACCCCGCCGGCGGCGAGCGCGGCTCGCGAGCGGCGCGATTGGCCGAGCCGCCGAGCGGCCCGTTCCCTCCGGCCGGCAGATCCGCCGCTCGCGAGCGACTCCGCTCATTGGTCCGCCGGCAGTCGGCGGGGGAGGTACGGCGCGCGCCCCTGGAGCGGCGGAGCGCGCGCGGGCTTTCCGGCGGCGATGCGCTCTCCGGGTAATCAGTGCCATTCCGTGCCAATATCAACCAGCACGTGATAGTGCATCTGTTCTTATCTGAGGTGGGTGCGCGCGCGCGTGGGCGGCTCTCGCCGTGTCTCTCTCGGTCCCGCAGGTCGGATCGGCTCGCGAGGTCGCGTCGCGGGGTTTCAGTTCCGGGAGATCGTTCCGCCGGTGACCTGCCTCGAGGAGACAGTGGTGGACCTTGGTTCGTCCTGCCGAGGATCCGGAGTAGGGCATTTTCGGGGCCCGAATGAGCCGGGAGGGCGACGGGTGAGGCGCGGACGCCGGGCCCGGCTCGGGGGGTGATGCCCCCCAGGTCGGGACTGTGGCGGTGATCCGTCGGGGGTGCCGAGGGAGTCGCGAGGGCGTCGGCAGCGCGCCGGCGGCTCCTTAGGCGGCCGCGGTGCCAATTAAACCGCGAGTCGTTTGCGCGCACCATAAGGGAAGCTGACGACAACCGGCGGAGGGATCGACGTCCCCGACACCACCTGAGAGCTCAGGAGGAGAGGAAAGACGCGGATGGTTCAGCGAGGGACTCGACGACAGGGCGACCGGAGGATGGGGGGCGAGTGAAGTCTTCCTAGGAAGAAGTTTGTGGGACGATAGACAGGATATCGCGGATCGTCGGAAAACGGTGGACGAGGTCAAGGGACGCTTCGGGAGACACCTTTTGCAGCCGCGGGTAGAAGATCCTTGGGATACCTCGAGGGACTTCATCGAGACACCTCCGGGACACCTTCAGGAAACTCCTTCACGGGGCACCGAGCCTCCAGGATGTGGTCGTTAAGTTCCAAGGTCCCCGACTCCAGAGTCGGGGTTGAACCTCACTCCAGGGCGTGAGACGAGCTCCTCTATAACCTCTCCCTTCGGGAGCGACCTCCGGTTAAAAGCCACCGACCCGGTCTCCGGGAGTCCAGGAAGGGGCATATCTCCCGAGGTCGCGGGGGGGCCCCCCATGCGGGGGCGGGCCCGCCGTTCCCGGAGGTGCCGGGCGCCGGCGACCCCGTCGACCACCCGGAGGGCATGACCCCCGCCCCCCGTGGGGTGCCGTGCCGCTGACTAACCCACCCCCGATCTTCCAACCCGGAGCCCGAACTACCGAGGTCGCGCTCCTCTTCTTCCATCGACCATGGCCGGCACGACGACCTCGGCCGGGGTGAAGCCGCGCGGCGGCAAGATCAGCTTCAGCGTGGACGCGCTGTTGAGTGGAACGAGGGAGCCCCCCGAGGAGGAGGTCGCCCCCGAGGTGGAGCAGAACTCCCCCATCGAGGCGAGGTACCGGGAGCTCCTGGCCGAGCACCAGAGACTGAACGGCCGCCGGCTCCTAGAGATGCTGAGTCCCCAGGGGGCGCCGGGGGTGGGGCTCGGGAGGAGAGACCAGGTGCCCCCCTCGCGCCCTGGGGCCCCCGGGCCCCGGGACTCCCCCAGACCCGGCGGCACTACGGCACCCCCGAAACGCCGGGACGACGACGACCCCCGCCTTCTGGGGACTGTCCCTCTCGACGACGGCAGCCTCGATGGCGCCGTCGCTCCCGACTGCCCCCGCGACCCCCCTGGGGGTGTTCCCTCCCCTCGGAGGAGAGAATCCGACGAGAGGAGCGACTCCGAGGCAAACCGCTCCATCGAGGGCGACCCCAGTGGGGACCAACTCGACGAGGATCAGGATGTTCGCAGCGTCGGTCCTTCCGAGGATCTCAACGTCATGGACTCCGACTGCGAGGGGGAGAGGGAGGTCGCGGACCCTGGGAAACCCGGACCCGTTGTCCCACAACCCATCCACCCTGGGGTACGAAGACCATCCGAGGGATACTTCGCCGATGGTCTTGTGTGGAACGCTCCTGGGTTTCAACACTCTCTGGCGGGGTTCACCTGGCTGCCTCCACCGCCGCATCCCCATAACCATCACCATGGACACCTCTATGCCCCACATGGAGGACCGACCAGCCCTAATGGTAACGAGACAGTTTATTGGGTTATTCCATACGCTTGTGGAAAAGATTTTTTTTACACATATTCAATCTGGAAATTCTGAACCTTAAGGCGATATCAAAGGGTCTATTCTTGGTTCTACTCTGGGATAAATAAAAGAGATTTTTTATCACATGTGAAATTTCAGGAACACCAGGTTTTTCATCAGGGCCTCTATAATCACGTGCTGAATGTTTCTAACTATTCGGTGCATCCAGGTTGGAGACAAATTTTATCAATCTTTTAGGGCCTCCTTATCATGGTATATTTTCAAACTAATCAGTATATCCAATTCGGAGGATGTTTTCCCCAACGATTTCACTTCTCATATTCATATTGACTGACTTTCATATCACATTGAGGTGTTAGGAAACTGTCATATGTATATTACAAACGTCGGAATATTTTTAAAAGTTTTTTATACACCCTGGGTGCACCGAATAATTTCAAACTTTAATTCGTGATTATGGAGAACCCATAGAAATATAACGCGATGCTCATGAAATTTCATTAAAAAAAGAAATGAAGAAAAATCGTGGAATCGAATTTTTTCGGCTAATTATTTGAAAGAAAAAAAATATGTCTCTTTTGGCTGAAAGGCCAAAATGGAGGTAAAGACCCGTCGCGAGCCGAATGCTCTTGAAATTGAATATATTGCTCTATTGATGCACTTTCGATACCGAATACTGTCCAAAGATCACAACTACTATTCGAAATGACATGATGTCGGTGTGTTTGAAGAGTGTCCCATGACACATGGAGTTAATAGCTTAATTTCACGTTCTTCAGGGCCTCTAACAGCTGGCCGTCCCTAATTCCGTCTGACAACGATCCCCAGATTTATCGCCTTATCCGAGCAAACAATCAGAATAGGAAAGTCGTTCCTTGATTAATGTCCCCCCAATTAACGTCAAAGTTTTCCCTTCTTTATGATTTAATGCTCCTACCGAGAGTCTAATTGTTCGGCGCACCGAGGCATACCGTCGACATTTTCTAACCGTACTTCTTTGAAGGATGTTTTACCAAGGGCGGGGAAATGGCGATGTTTCAGGAGATCTCAGACTTCCTGGGCCCAGTCCAGGACCTGTTCGATGCACCCTGAGGAAGCACAAGCCAAATAGGAAACCCAGGACGCCATTTACGACGCAGCAGTTGCTCTCGCTGGAAAAGAAATTCCGCGAGAAGCAATATCTCACGATAGCTGAAAGGGCGGAATTTTCTTCGTCCCTTCATCTAACAGAAACGCAGGTAACGCGAAAATCAAATTAAATCGTGAATAAAAGTCTGCAATTCATAAAATCAAACATGGCGTCTGGCCCTTGGACGCCTCGCGTGATTATCATGAGATATTTTAATTATTATGAGAGATAAAATTCCGCGAGAAGCAATATCTCACGATAGCTGAAAGAGCGGAATTTTCGTCGTCCCTTGATCTAACGGAAACGCAGGTAACGCGAAAATCAAATTAAATCGTGAATAAAGTCTGCAATTCATAAAATCAAACATGGCGTCTATCCCTTGGACACCTCGCGTGGTTATCATGAGATATTTTAATTATTATGAGGTACCTTTATCAGGGTATAACATAGACAAGGGGGAGAGAACTTAATCCGAGTACGAGACGTAACGTCAGAGGAAGAAAAATTGGGGCAATTCCTTATGGACAACCCAACACCAGGTCTTCTTCTTCCAGGTGAAGATCTGGTTCCAGAACAGACGCGCGAAAGCAAAGAGGCTGCAGGAGGCTGAGATCGAGAAGTTGAGGTTATCGGCCAGGCCTCTTTTACATCCAAGTTTTGGATCTGGACTGATGTTCTCCGGAGTAGGCCCTCCAGGAACATCGGCAGTTCCTCCCTTCATAGCTGCAGCAATGGCGAGGCATTCTCACGCCGCCGCCGCGGCGGCCATGTTCATGGGCTCCCCTGGCCACAGGCCGTAGACATTTTCTCTCTACTTAATTTCCCTTTTTTTTTTCTTTTCTTTTTTTCTTCTCATAATTAACTACAAAGTGTCAACTAACGAGTGCCGTATACCGTGACCAGGAAAGTGGACGATCTCTATTCGGGAATTCTTCCAATCCGTGGCCTTGGTCACCGGTTGGGATGCACATGCAGATGCACATGCAGATGCACGTTATCGTTATCAGCAAATCTTGCCCTGCAGAATTTCAAGAGACTGCAGACGTTTCGTATTATTTATTCCAGGATATGTAAGGTGCACTTCCTGGGTTTTAGTTTATCTCGTATGCGCACGCAGAAGAGTATTTGGTTGAGCCGATATAAAAATTATTGTTGGAGTTTCATTGTTATTTGTGTGACATAACGAGATCCTTTGATCCATTTTTAATGCTCGCTTGATTGAACAAGGACATAAAAATTCGACGAAATAGTCTTTCTGCGTTTACCGGACTTCACAATTGTTAACTGTCAGCGATATCTCCGAGGTGGTTATTGTTTATTAATCCCTATGTGAGGAAATTAGAGATTCACTTGCTCCTCCGTACACTTGCAGATGGACCTCTCGAACTGATAAGACCGACACGAAAAGTATATTATCACTGTTACGAGAATGCGTCGACGTTTTGGCGACCCCCAAGTGGACTAATTAACGACCCTCGTTAACAATTAACATCGGGTCTCGATTTCAAGTTCATGCATTAAGTGATATGTAGTTGTCATGGGGATGTGTATCAAGTTGTTCGCAGGAGTAACTAGGAATGCTGGACCTCCAACAGTCGTGAACAGTGTCACGTCGCGAGGCTCTCTGCAGCTCGGAATGTTGCAACAATGGTCCTATCCAGCTTCGATCTTGCACTCTCGACAAATGTTGCTGCAATCTCTCCGCGGCATTGCGCCAAGTGTTGCGTCAAAAGCCGCGTTATCACCGCGATCCTGCAGACACGTTCCAACGATATGACAATGGTGTTCAGAAAGTCCTGCAATTTGAGACGAAAAAAATAAAAAATGGAAGATAGGTCCTGGAGCCAAAAATATTATTTGATTCTGCGATCTTGAAAACGCGTTGAGATGAGAAATTGAAAAAAGAAGCGTCGTTGAAGATAAAAATTCATATTTATTATTGAGGTCCTGAAGACGCGTTGCAGCGACCTAACAATGGTGTTCATAAAATCCTGCAATTTGAGAGGAAAAAAATTAAAAATGGAAGATAGGTCCTAGAGCCAAAAATATTATTTGATTCTGCGATCTTGAGAACGCGTTGAAATGAGAAATTGAAAAAATAAGCGTCGTTGAAGATCAAAATTCAAATTTATTATCGAGATAATGCAGACGCGTTGCAACGATATGACAATGGCATTCAGAAAGTCCTGCAATTTGGAAGGAAAAAATTAATAATTCGAGGTGAGTCGTAGAGCCAAAAATGTTATTTGATTCTGCGATCTTGAAAACGCGTTGAAATGAGAAATTGAAAAAATAAGCGTCGTTGAAGATCAAAATTCAAATTTATTATCGAGATCCTGCAGACACGTTCCAACGATATGACAATGGTGTTCAGAAAGTCCTGCAATTAGGAAGGAAAAAATTAAAAAAAGGAAAACAAGGAGAAACAAAAAAAAATCGTCGAACATCTTAACGTCCCAACGACTCCGACGATACGGACTGATAACCCCTCCCCGAGGAACATAATGATAAGCTTGGTATATATCATTGTGAAAAATCACAGGTCCACTTTCATTGATAGAGATGCATCCTCGTACACGCGCAAACCCACACACACACACACACATGCGATATACTTTGAAAAATTAATTGCACGTTGGCAAAACGTTCGAGGGCCAGAAGCGAGTCGAGAGATATGATAAGAGGACCGATAAGAGGAAGGAAGAGGAAGGATGAAGCATTTACTGGAAGGCAATGATCTCAGACGAGGTGTGTGTCAAATGTACATAGTTGTGTAAATAGGTCTCCTATAGATATAAATATAAATTCATGAGATACAGTTGCTCTCGCTGGAAAAGAAATTCCGCGAGAAGCAATATCTCACGATAGCTGAAAGGGCGGAATTTTCTTCGTCCCTTCATCTAACAGAAACGCAGGTAACGCGAAAANATATATACATAGACGGTAAGAGGAACGACGCGCATGCGTACGCGCGCCGCGCGGCCGCCATTATTGGTGCACGCGTGTGAGGCTATCGACTGGCCGTTTAAGGAGGCAGGACGGTACTTACGCGTGTACATTACAGGTATGTACTCGTCCGCATTACGGGGTACGTACCTGCGCGTATCGGACTAATTTATTGGACGGGGAGGAGGCACCCACGGCCGGGTTAATCTGCGGTTCCGAGAATGCGATAAGATCCCTAGGTGTAACTACAGCTCTCTCTGTATAAACGCGCTACGATAATTTATCCCTAGAGTTACGTTAAAGAGAAATAAATACGGTTTCAATATTTAAGTGGCCCCCTTGCTTCTCCGTAGACTCCGCGTCGAAGGAAACAAGATGGCGGACGAGGACCGACGACAGAGACGAATCGATATCGCCGATAATCACGTAACAAGGAAAAGGTATTTACATTTTCCCTCCAATTTACGGGGAGATTATCAAATTGCAGATTTAAGGGGCAGTTCGAGTCTCTCGAATAAGGTATGACTGTTAAGTGTTGCATTATCGAAATCTTTGCGTCCAAGATGGCCGCCACGCTCCGTCCTCGTATATCACTAGTCGAATCGGTATGACCGTTAATTTGAAGTACAAGAGAAAAAGCGGTACTTGCGGTTTCGCGTTATTTTACGAGAAAGAAATTTAGTATTAACTTGGAGATTTCCGGGGAAGATTCAATCTTAGAGTATAATTAGAACCGTCGCGGCGTCCAAGATGGCCGCTCGTGCTGCGCCCTCGTATATCGCATAAAAATGGAGAAATCGGAGTAACTTCGCGCTTCCGGCGTCGGATGCCCGTGGAAAATCGAAGACACCGATGGCTTGTATATTTTCGAGGCATCGGACGAGGCTTAAATACCTCGCCGGTACTTTATTCGTCACGATTTCGTGACCGGAGTCGACGGCTCGGGCGGCGCAGCGGCGTCGGCAAGATGGCGTCGCCAGATGGAGCGATCGCGCGTTCCAGTTCGGTCCTCGAAAAATGTATTCCATCCGGAGGGTGGAAAAATGTCGTTAATGCCTTTAGAACGGTGCTCTTGGACGGAGTTCGATTCCGGTCGGCCCATAAACGGCACACAAACGTCCCTTTAACCGATGCGAGTCGTGCGCGTCTCGGGGCTCGTTAAAAATCGTCCGAATAAAACGGCGGGGCTAGATCTCGCCCCTAATTAATTAATTAAAAAAAGGAAGCGAACGTAAAGGGACGAAAAAGGGAAAAGGAAAAAGAAAGGAGAAGAGACTCCGGGCACGTTGGCTTCGGTGTTTGCCCCGGCTAAATAATTAGCCCGACTCGGTTTACCCGTTTCCAACATCCCGATCGGGGCGAGAGAGAGAAAGAGAGAGCGAGGAGAGTATCGGAGTTAACGCGTGCACCGAAAGTAAGGGCCCTCAGTCAGTTTATCCAAGTTAATTGGTCGTAAATTAAGCGACCGACCTAAAGAGCGTGTGAACAAGAGAGATGGGAGATCGGGCCCGGGCCCGGGAGCGAGAGAGACGGCCGTAGAGGTGGGGGGCGGCGCGCCGAATAGAGATGTGGCGGGAGGGAGAAGGACGCTGCGCGCGCAACGGAGAGGCTGCGCGCGGCCCGCGACGCGCCGGACGGAGACGGACGACCAGTCGACTCCCGACTCCGCCGCCAGAGGGAGGTGGCCGCGTCGCGGGAAGAGACGGAGCCACTGCTACCTGGGCCGCCGGGGAAAAGGAAAAGAAAGGGCCCCCTCCAGGAACGGTAGCATATCGACACGCCATTATGTGGCAGCTCGGACTAATTTATACAAGGGAGAGCCCGAGGACACCAAGGAAAGCGACCCGCGGGAGGAGCGGCCTGCCTCCCGGAGGAGAGGGATCCCCTAATTGGGAACTAGTCACCGAGTAGCGGTCGCTCGTGTCTCCCGGAAATTACGATTATGGCGCCGGATTACGCTTTTCGGCCGCCCGGTCCCTTTTTACCAACGGCCGCCCTCCACCCGAATCCGGGTGCATCGCCGCGAGGAACTGCATTTTTGCGCTTCTTATCAAATTCCCGGGCTATACGTACCCCGAACCTTCCCCCCGCGCCATTATTTTCTTACCTTATACTCGTTCGACTAATTACGAGCGAGATCTTTCTCGGCCACCTTACGATCAATCCACTCACGTCGCGGAGCCGATTCCTAACCTCGACTTAACGTTTCTTCATTTATTATTTCTGTATTTATTCTTAGCTCCATTATGGAGAAAAGGATCGCTGCCAATTCATGCGACTTAACCTAAGCATTTAATAGAATATCTCGATCGGATCCTTAATTATTATTCCGTATTTATTTGTAGGCCCATTAAGAGGCAAACGAAGCGAGTCGGTTCGACGCGATCGTGGGAGCAATTCGCTCGCGCGCACCTTGACCGTATAATTCCCCGAAGCATCGGTAGGGGCGCTGGCGGGGGGACATATTCGGTCGGTTGTCGAGTATATAGGATCGGTGAGCGGTGTATTCCGTAAAACCGATGACAATCTCCCTCCGGGCGCGCGCGGGATCGGCTAGGTGTGGTCCAACGGCGACGAGGCGAGTTTCCAGGAACGCGAACCATTAGACCTTCTGGCTGGTGTTATAAATTGTACATCGTTTAATTAGGCTCCGCTCGTGGTCGGGCCGTGCCGAACAGCGTGGCTATTTACCATTTACCATTTACCGTACCCATGTACCTCGGGGACCCTTATGTGCCGTCCGAAAGCTACCGTGCATCAAATTGGGCTGGAATTGGGCCCAAAGAGAATGCGGTTCTTTCTCGGCAGCGACTCCGGCTCTCTTCCTATCCCGGGAGCTGCACTCGCGCAATGGCGTAGCCTCTGCCCTCCTTTATTCGCCCACCTGGATGTTTCACTACGCCGCTGTCTATATACTAAAGTATCGCAAATGATTCTTCCGTTGTTTCAGAAACGCTTCCCTTGGACAGAGGACATTTTCTAAGGGGGCTTTCGTAAATTGGTAAGTGTCTTATGGATATTAATAACGACGAAATATCAATAAGAATTTTCGACTAACCCTTCCCACCGGATAATTTCAAAATTTGGTCATGAGAATCTTAATGCTTACGAAATTGTTGGGAAAATTCCGTTGACGCGCTGAAAGGAAATATTTTATTTACGAGCTCCGGGACTTTTACTTTCAAGAGTTTCTCCTGCACGGCCGCCATTTTGGATCTGGCCTCACGTGCCGCCACCTGGCTGTTTTTTTGCGCGCTAAATTTGAGACACGATTGGCGCGATTTTTAATTAAGATATTAATAAGGTAATGTAATAGGCCATGCTGTCGGGGGAAGATATATCTTGGTTTTACGAATTCTGCCGCCACGTTGAGGTGAGATCTTCGAGGCAATTGCGAAAATTCCGGGCTTATCTCCGGCGCTGAAAGCGAAATTAGTAACTACCACCGTACATAGCTCATTCCTGACACACGCATGCTCGCGTGCATATGCGCGTAAACATTAAGTGTTGGATTCTCGGCCGCTGTTATGTAAATTGGATCCTAACCGGTTTCTTATTCCGTGGCCACTGTCTTACTCGTGGCAATACAAAGCGCAGTGAGAATCAACTGAACCACTTTTCATTGTTCGCGTAGCACCCCTCGAAAATGGTCGAAATTCATAAAAATTCGGAAAAATAATTCTGACATCTTAAATTGAGAAGGAAAATTCAAAACAATGTATATAAAGTGGGTATATATATTTTTTATTTCGTGGCAATACAAAGCGCAGGAAGGGCATTGTTCGCGTCGCACCCCTCGAAAATGGTCGAAATTCATAAAAATTCGGAAAAATAATTCTGACATCTTAAATTGAGAAGGAAAATTTAAAACAAAGTATATATATTTTTTATTAAACATTTCTTATTTCTTGGCAATACAAGCTAGAATTAACTGGCTCGTTCTTCGTGTTTATAGAGGAATGAAGGGAGGGAAATTGGATAAAAATCATCTTAACGAGATAAAGTAATTAGGAGGGTACAAAAGGGACGCATTAGGGGTGGGAAAGCGCAAGATGGCCGTTTTGAAGAAGCCGAGGCGTATATATCCGGCCGAATGAAGCGGACAGGTAATGGGACCACCCGGGGCTCCGTTCTAATGCCGGTACGATTAAAT